AAGGGGGATGAGGTCAGTGATTAAAATAGCCAGCTCACTACTGTCAGTGTGTCGGGACAGGGCCCCTCCTGGTCTGAGGGAGACCTGGGTCAGTGTGGGGAACACGAGACAGACAACTATCTTTAACCTCGAGCAGTAACCGTGCTGATAAATGAACAACACAGCATAATCCATTTTGGCTTTGTTTTCTACTGAAGCAGCCACTGCAGTGCAAAATCAGACGGTAAGGAGGATTGCAGACCGAATCAGCTGATTTAAGAGTTTACAGAGTATTAATAGAAACTGTACAGGGTATTTTTGGAAGGCGTATATCTCACTATGCATTTATAGATTTGTAGTTAAGAAATCTTTTATTGAAGTGCAGATTAAGAAGGACGAGTGTTCAGGAAAAACGACAGCCTAATGCAGCATGTGCAGCAATATTACTGAGTAGTAGAATACTCTAGTATATTGTACATTTTAATGAAAAACTATCGTTCTGCAGAAATGGTTCGATTTAGCAAATTTTGCATATATGTTTGCTTAATGAATGGTTAAGTGGTTCTAAAATTGCTGGTTCAAAGTCACTTAAAAGTTAGCCAGTGTGAATAGCATTTGTTTTCATAGCCTGCATGCATTTCTGCGTCAGTGAGAGTGAGCGTGTACGGGGGCTTGTGTGAGCTGCTACATGTGGATTCCACATTAGAGCCTTGAGATGACAGCTGCTCTCCACAGAAATAGATCTTGATGGAGCCATTATTTAAATTCCATTCTTATATACGCACACCCTGTCATACTGTTTTACCTACTGTAATATTCACATTTAACAAGTACTACATGAAGAATACATATATGGATATTACATATGTATGTTTTAATATATCTGTGTTTAAATGGTAATCCAGAATTCATACACTTATATTCTGTAACACAATTTAGTATTTATATCTTCCATATCCAAATATTCTTAGCCTCTCTAATTGTATATTTAGCTTGTATGTATATTTTACTTAAGATAAAAATAAAATAGGATATTTAGCTGAATATTTCTTAGTTTACATTATATTAGTATGTTAGTTCATAAATTTATATTGCAAGGTCTGAAATATAATTTGTTATAAATAACAAGAAAAAGGTGTAAATAATGCAAGAGTATTTGAATATATTAATGCTTTTTAAAACTTTATACAGTTCTGAAGACACAGCAGCTTGTGTTACTGTAGTGTTAGGGTGGATACGTGCTTGACCTACATTCTTGGGTCCTGTATTATTTTAAGAAGCAGGAAGCATCTGGGCCAAAAGCTTAGTGAGCTATGACCAGTATTTTTGTTTGTCTTTGAGTCATTATTGATATGCAGTGACTGTCAGGCTTGTGAGCTTTATTGATATTAAGCAATTGTTAAGCTTGTGAGTTGTAATTTTTTATTTTTTTTTATTGCCCACCAATATACTGTAGTTGGAGGACAACTATATTTTACATTAATTTCAAGAGTAAAGAGTATGGCCGCTCCAAACTCACCCGTCCTAGTACCGTGATTATAAAAAATAAAAATAAAAAAAGGGGCGGGATACAGAAACAACAATCGTAACAATAACAGACATTAATCACCATGGGGAGAGGGGGAGAAAAAAGAAAACAAAGGTATACAGAAATATTAATAATGTAGGTGGGATGGAGAAAATGAAGTGTAGGGGAATACAGAATACAAGAACATCAAACAACAAACATTATAACAACAACAAAATCAATAATAATAATAATAATGTTACAAATAGTTATTATGTATATGTAGCATACACACACGTGATCCTACCGATATACATGTATATTTCAATTCCTATATCTATAACAGACGCTAAAAAGTAATAATAATAATGATATTGATCGCTCAACCTCGAATGCGCCCATTCTTGTATGTGCAAGTGTAGGTGTGAACTGATTTGTCATTGGATATGCTGGCATTTGAAGCCGTTATTGATATCAAGTGACAAGTCGCAAGCGTAGCAGTTTCTCCAAAAGTTATGGAGGGCATCTAGTGACTGTAAAGCTCAATCGCTCTTCTTATGACAGCACAATGCAGGCATCTATGCTCTTCTGATATACCTTCCATCCTTCCTCTTAACATTTATCAGTTCAAGGTCACAGGTGGCCTGGATATTCTCCCCAGTATAGGGGACATGGCTGCGGTTCACCCTGGATGGGATGCCAGTTCATCACAGGGCACATACATGCACACACTCACACACACACTATATAATAGTCTTCGGCCAGTTTTGATTCATGTGGATGGTGCTCAGAGCCATTTTTGCACAAAACCAGTGGATTTTAGTTGTAGTCTTTCAGTTAAACAGGATTTAAAATCAATTGAGGCTCAGCCATTTTTATCTAGTGAAAATTAAAATGATTATCATTAGCCATCTGATCAAGAACAGCAGAGAAAACTCCATTTTGAACTGTATCACAGTTTCCTATTTTGTAATATATGGGCCTATCAGTATTCCCTCAGAACTGGGATGTGTACTTTGAGGAGATGACATGCCCAGGTGCACTAGAAAAAATGTATCTATAGTTTCATGGTTAAAACAAGATTTAGGTTATTTTTTAGGTTAAAGTAATAGATATTGTAAATGAAAGATCTGTTTTTCTGACTGAGTATTCTGTTATGGGCTGGGTTCACTTAAATGGGCTTAAAAATGTTGCAAGGCATTGAAATACACCCTGGGGTGGTTTAGAATTGAAAAATATATAGAAGCTATTTTACTCACTTGGCATTGACACATTGTGTGCATTTCAGTTAGAATTCCTGACTCTGACTAATTTGTGTTATGTTGCGGGGGTGTTCACTGGAGTCTCTCTGATGCAGTTTCTCAGCATGAGGAAGAACACTGCATCAGATAAAATCCCCTTCATTGAGTAGTGAGTATATGATGTAGGGCACTTCAGGATATGGTGTGCAATCGTGAGCTCAGCACACAAGTGTACCTGGGTTATACAATCAGCCTAAACTGTTAGTAGTACTAATTATGACTAATAATGTCATTGTAATGAGTAAACAAGTACAGATATATGCATTAAAACATGGACAACCAGATCTCTAATTAATTTGTTACATTTTGTATCTATAGAAGTGTAAATAAGGTGTAAGAAGTTGTAGGCTTCTAGTATTACTGTGCAGATAGATCACTGCTCCTAAGTATCTGATCCAGGGTCCTGTGTCCTCAGACAGCAGCTGCAGCTGTTGGAGGCAGAGCTCAGCGGTCACCTTATAAGATCCATTTCTAAGTATGTCTGTTGCCCCTGGTGCTGCTCCGGCATTCTGGCATTGTTTGCTTAGGCCTGCTCCTTCTCACAGTTCCGCTTCAGCAAATAAGCAAATTCCCCTTTTTATCTGGCAAGATGTGCGTACTGGAAATTTGGTATGCTTTGCTTAAGCAAACTCAGCAGGCCCAGATAAAATGGTTTTCTTCGTAACTGTTCCTCTTGTTTGTGGAAAACTGTCCCACCAGCCTGTTCTATGGCTTATTTTCAGTGCCTAGCATCTATGAGATGATAGTCATACCTGGATTTTGCTGCAGAACAAATCTGGTATAAGCTGTATTGGACCCAGAGTTTTGGTGAGCAAAGTTTTTTACCTCTGAAACATAGGCAGCATGCTGGAGAGGAGTGTGACTCACGCTGCTCTGCATGTAGTTCTGCTTTCAGTCTTTCAAAGTACATTTCAGAATGCTCTGCTGGTTGTATTTTGAAGTATCACAGACAGAAACAAGTAAAAGATAGGGTGGCAATATAAATGTCCCCTGGGCTGGACATTACGTCTTGCTTGGGAAAGAATCTGACATACGAGTCCTCTGGCAAATTTATAGATGCAGTCATGAGGTTGGCAATTAAATGACGATTCCAAGCCTATTCTGTGTCTGCATAAATCAGAAATAGCTGCAGTGTAGTATTGGGACTTTGTCTCTCAGGATGATGTGATGTTGAAAGGCACAATGTGGCTTAATAAACAAGAAGAAAAACAAGGTAAGAGGCTGCCCTCCCTGGAAAAATAGCTGTAAATGTTCTGGTCAAGTTCTTCTCAAATTAAACTCATGACTCTTTGGTGTGGTATTATTAGAGAAACAAGTATTCCTGTGAACTTAAGAGGCAAGAACCGTACTGTATTGTAACATGCTGGTGTTTAGTGTCCTCACCTCTGCCTGATTTGTTATGATTAAAGAATACTGTACAAAGAATACAAAGATGACAATACATTCAAAATGTACATTCATCAATGAAAACCAGTACAAAAAGGGTTATTTATGTTTTCAACTCTGCAATATACTAAATACTTTAAAATGTATTTGTAGTATGTTTTATGCAGTACTAAAGATGATGTTCATTGAAATAATCAGGCGTTGTTTGTAATACCAGAGTATCATTCATTCACCTTGGAATAAGATTAGGTATCCATGTAGGATCAATTTTGCTTTTTGCTTCTTATTGATATTTGAAAGATGAGAATTTAATACTACAAGTGTCTTTGAATTGCATTAATTTAATTACAATTTAATTGCAATTACAAGCCTGGTAATCATTTTCTTGGCTTTTTTCATTGACCTTTTTCAGGTTTTTATTATAAGGATAACTGTGTATTACAAGATTTTAAAATTATTTCTATGGTTAAGTGCCTCATTGTTTTATAGTTAATATTTTTTATTAATTTGCTTTTTACTTTCCAGTCTTACCCAGGCTTTCTTTGGATTTTCTACTAATGCCTAGTTTCCCTAGTTAGATGCTCAGTTTAATACTAAACATTGTTAGATGTGTATATTGTTAGCATAGAGTTTGCTAATTCATACTAAGACACTGTAACCCTTTCTCAGATTTGTATTAATACACTGTTTCATACTATTTATTACTATCACAATGGCAATATTATGCCTGTATAGGTTACATTTGCTCACATGTGCTTCATTTGGCCTATCATTTGGAGGTCCATCAGACCTGAATGGGACCATCCAGTAACTTTTCTTGTTGACAGGACATCTGTGAGGATATCTCTGACCACGTGGAGCAGATCCACGCCCTGCTGGAGACTGAGTTCTCCCTGAAGCTCTTCTCCTACTCGGTGAACATCATCGTGGACATCCGAACCGTGCAGCTCCTGTGGCACCAGCTGCGAGTCTCCGTCCTGGTCCTCAAGGAGCGACTGCTGCAAGGCCTCCAGGACTCCAACGGCAACTACACCCGGCAAACTGACATCCTGCAGGCATTCTCCCAGGACCATGATGAGGTATCATAAAAACACTAGCATGCAACATTTCACAGCGTCCACGCAGATCACACAATCTCATTCAAAATGAATGGCAGACTGTGTCAATACATGTGCATGCACTTCTGTCCAAATCATTATATTACACTCCCAGACATATACATGTATTACTACAGATACGGCATGGAATTAACTTTGACAGATTGGGGGAAATCTGTGGTCTATGAAATTAAGTGAGAAAGGTTCTGGTGTAACATATTTCCTCGAGGTATAATAAGGGGGTCACTCGGTTATTGCTAAATCGTGTTACTTTATCACACCTCATTTGTGTACAGTATGTCCCTTTAGGGAAAGTAATTAAGAATTAAAGTATGATTCCTAATCATATGTCTTCTATTTAATCGGGAAAAGATCAGCAGTCAGCTTCGCTAATTGTAGTGTAAATATGAAGAGAATTCACTTTGGATGTTCACAGTACATAGTGCAGACAAGCTGTTTCAAATCAGAAACAGAAACCTTATCACCCTCATCGCCACAGCACATCAGGAATATCCCATAACGCATCACAAAGTGCACACAGGCGCTGTATAAAATTAACTGCAAAACTCTCTATTTTACCAATATACAATCCATTAATTGGTGCTTATTATTCAGGTTCAGGTTGTATGCAAGCTAGATTTCAAACAATAGTGCGTGATAAGTGACTAATGGCTCCCAGAACTACTGTAAATTGACTGAGTGTAACAGGAGTGAATTTGCATTGTTACGGCATATAATAGCAGCGGAACTCGATGGATTGCTGGAACAAATGACTGTATTGTCCTCTCTCTGATAAAATCTTAACCAAGTTACAGCGGTTGAGAACAGAACCATGTAACAGGTGGGAAAAAAATAATGAACAAAAAGATCTGTTTTCAAGAAAACAGATCTTTTTTGAAGATTTCTTTAAGAAATCTTTTTCTTAATTAAATGAACAGGGCTTCACTTACTTGTGCACTATTCCCACTGTACCCTATGTCCAATTTTACAAGTCACATACATGACATCTCATTTCAATACTCACATCAAGCAACCACAAGAAATGCAGCAGTGAATAATGTCTGTAAAAAGACTGTAACTATGTATGTTAGATGCATTCAGTCTTGGACTCTTGTGTGTGCTTTGCCAGTCTGGTTAATATAGCTCTGACTGATATATTTCCCCACTTATCTTCATGTTATAATGATGAATTGCTCACAAAGAGCTTCTGTTTAAGAGACATTTTTAAAATGTCACCACATTGTGTAGTATACTAGAAAGTGAATTTGACTGTAAATTCATGATAAAATATGATAAAAATCCAGTTAGAGTATATAAATGCATTTTAAAGAATAACATTCTTATTACTTTTAGAGAAAGGTGGGCCTGGAAACGGCCATTGAAAGCGTTTCTGCGTGTCCCGTGGCTGTGCCTTCATGGCATCTGTCACAGTTCCTTTAAGCAGGGCTTCCTCTCACTTCACTCCTTTGCAGTGACTGTGTTTCCACTCATATGCTGCATGCCGCTTACTCACCCAGGAGGGGCTTGTGCTACACATATATATATATATATATATATATATATATATATGGGTAGGTCTGCCCAAACTTTTGTCTGGTACTGTATCTACAACTATAATAAATTCTTCTCTTGAAATTTAAAATGCAATGATATAAAGTTAAGCTACAAAAGGCTGATCAAAATATTAAAATATTGCTCTTGTATAGTGCACTATTGCAAAGACGTGGCAGACTATCTTACATGTTAAATGTACATTCATTGCTTTGACATGTATGTAATTCTCAAAACAATACGAATACAGGACTTCTCTTTCTCCAGGCGCGGCTGGATGCATTGACAGAGGTGGATGACTCTGGCCAGCTGACAATCAAGTGTAGTCAAGATTACTTCTCGCTGGACTGTGGCATCACTGCCTTTGAGCTGGATGACTACAGCCCTGCTGAAGAAGCAGAGTGCCAGATCCGAGGCCTGAAGTCTCACCACTGCTTCCCGTCATTGGAGTCAGACTTTCCTGGGCTAATCCAGAGTGTGGGCCTCCTAACAGTCACAGCTGAACACCTGTCCTCTGTGATTGGGAGTCCAATAGACCCCCAGCTGAGGTGTGAGGACAATTCAGCCAGCCAACCGACAGACACTATCCCTACTTCTTCCACAATGAACCGCAATGCTCTCCAGTGTGAAAATACACTCTCCAAAAGACACCTACAGGACAGCTTCAATTGCAATGAGATGTCCCCCACTCAGCCATCCCTGCCAAAAAAGGCAACGTACCCAGAAGGACTGTCCCGGGATGACACGGAGACCATCCTTAAGAGAGCACCACACCCCTCTTCTCTTCAGTTTCAGGCAGACATGAGTCGCAGCACCCCATCACTGCTGGGTCAGCCAGACCGCTCCAAGTTCTGGCTGGAACTCACAACCATCTACCCTAATTCTGTCAGACACTCCTGTGACAACCTGAGGACCATGAATAGTAGGAACTGGAAACCAAGTAGACAGGCCAGCCTTCAGAATTTGCAAGTCTCTGGCTCCGATCCTGCTCTTCAGAGAAGCTCGTCTGAGTCTGGAGAGGCCAGTGACCTGGAGCATCCAGCTTCCCACAAGCTCAGCCTTGACCCCCAGGAAAATTGCCTAGTTGACACCCCACAAAATAATAATTCACCCAATAAAAACCCTCCAGATACAGACTCTTGTGACAATACAGCTAGTCCTTTAACCATCTGTGATCCAACCCAAAAAATATCTTCCCCAGCTATCCCTGAGAAGAAACAACCACCTACTACCAGCAGGCCTCTGAAGGAAGAGTCATGGTATGGCTCTGATGAGTATCTGGCTCTGCCGTCTCAGCTGAAGAAGACAGAAATTCTTGCATTAAAGCTGGAGACCATTGCCAAAGCTCTTCCCCAAAGACCCATAGAGGAGCAAATCCAGGATGTGGATGACTGGGAGCTGTCAGATGTGCACTCAGAATGGGAAAGCTCAACACCCCCCCAGGCTGGCCACAGGTATGAGAAGGCTTTCCCTTCTGGCCATTTCTCCCCTACATCTTCCAGTGACATTGCACCTTCTCTTGATGAGAGCATTGAGTCAGGGCCCCTCAGTGACCTGCTGTCAGAGGATGAGGTTTACTGGCATGCTGGTGAGTGTAAAAGAACAGAGAAGCCAGCTTGGAGCCCTGCTGTCGAAGAACACTGCCGTCATCACCAAGACTTGATCAAACAGCTACTGGAGGATATCCAGCATCAGGAAAACTATAAAGACATATGGAACAAGATTGAGGTAACGTTATACAAGTTTGAATACTTACTTTAGTGCTTATGGGAGATGTAAATTTATAAAAATATATATAGACTACACAATACTGTAAAAACAAGATCTAACGTAGAATACATTGGTGTAGGGCTGCCACTAATGACTATTTTTCTATAGATTCATCTATCCACTATTTTATCAATTGGTCAATTAATCTATGACCATTTAAGTTAATTATATTTTGATAACAACAAACTGTTTGCCGTTGCAGGTCTTTAGATAATGTATGCCGGTTTTTCGGCACTATATGAACATTGTTTTCACCACAATTCAATAAGCAGATTAGTATTATGCCTAAAATATTTATGAGATGCGTATTGTAATGCCCAAAAGTTATAATGCTTAATATATTCGGTTAGCGGAGCACACCGTATGCAACACAAGCGATAAACACTTAAGTCGCAATGAAGGAAGGGACAGATCAGCAGCCACATCTTTGAAAAGTGGAGATACTGTGGTTAAACAAGGTAAAAAGATGTTTTAAAAGGTGTTGGTGGTCTAGCGGTACTTTTTTGCAGATTCATGGGCGTAATTTCCAGGGGGGTTAGGGGGGTCATGACCCCCCCCAATAATTAGATCCAGCCAATATAACCCCCCCAATAATTAGATCCAGCCAATATAACCCCCCCAATAATCATGTTTCTCCCGTAATGGGTGGAGACCTCGACCCCCCCAATGTTCCAGCCAAAGTTACGCCCTTGTGTAGATTAGACATGTTTTGTTTGTTTTTGTAAATATGGTTTTAATTTTTATGTCAGTTCACAAATTATTTTCTTTTATTTCGTCTCCGTTTTCGTTTCAGTTTACGATAACGACAATGGTCCCAACAAGTTCAACGCGCATGAACCCACACACTGGCACCGTTAATCAACCTCGAATAAGACCAGGTTTTAGCCTAAACACTTATTCAGTAGATATTTGTAGCAGGCAGACAATATTATGCCTTTAATAATGAGTGTATTTAGTAGAGCTGGGCGGTATGACCTAAAATTGATATCACGGTATTTTTCAAAGTTCCATCAGTTGCACTGTATATGACGGTATTTTTTTTTTAAGTATAACTGGGCATTTACCCCAACTTTGTAGCACTGTTGGCATAGAGGCTGATCGACATCCTTAGGCTTTCCATGCTCGTCTGCAAAATACTTCCAAACAGCACTTTTGCATTTTTTTTTTTTTTTTACAAAGGCAGCTTGCGAAGTGCCTTCAACTGCAACATATACCATGTACGGCCAACTAGGTATGTGTGTGTTAACCTGCGCGAATGCGTTCAGCGGCTATTGAGAGGAGGGGAGGGGCTGCGAGAGTGTGTGCATGTGCGTGCGTGCACGCGTGCCTGCGCTGTAGTGGTGCTGTGCAAAGTGTGGCGAATGAGGCAAAAATCGCACTGTTGGTATCAGTAATGGTGAAAATGAGTATCTAATCAGATATTAATTTTAATATCAATTAGTGTCTGAGAATCGATTTTTTGACAACCCCAGTGTCTCATTATTTTCAACTCCAGCGTCAGCTATATTTTCCGTGGTACCTTTTTAGCAGTGCAGCAGTGAAAAAGGTCCCCCCTTAAACAGTTTCCAGCTGCTCCACTTTCCGAATGTTGTGTAGGCTATTTAAATCGGTATTGCGGTATAAGAAAAAAATCATATAATAACAATAATAAAAAACGGTTTTCAGTATGAATCGGTATACCACCCAAGACCAGTATTTAGCAGCTACAAAGACAAAAGATATTGAGTTCTAGGTACTAATGGTAATTTAATAAACATGAACAGACGTTTGTTCATTCAATTCATTTATTATAATGAATTGAAGCTTTTTAGAAATCATAAAGATAGTTTTATTAAAATTTTATGCGTCAATTAAAAATATTGATGTCATTGACTACGTCGACTAATCACGGCAGCCCTACATTGATTTCAGTGGTACTGTCAGTTACCTGCAGTTTGTCATAAAATTCACCCTTGAGTACAATTCAAATAATCTAATTTCCAAATTATTCAATAGTAAATCTCTGTAGTTTAGAAACATCGCTGGCTAACACTATTTAAACTGAGAAGCTTCCTGCAGGGATATCTCTAACTTCAACATTCATTATGTGTTTGATAAATTTCTGTCTGGCACTAAACATTGTTTTTGATGTAACTTAAGGATGAGCCATTTTGAGTACCAAATGTACTTGATGTTATTCGTATGCTAGAGAGGCTGAGAACTTAAACACTATAGTGCCATCGTGTGGCAATAAAGGAAACTCGTGCCAGAATTCCATTGTGAAAACATTTTCCAGTGAGCTATACCTCACCCCACCCATTTCGAAGTGTTTGAGGACAATCAAGAATATTTGAAAAAAGATTTGTAAGTACAAATATATTTGCAAATAATGCACATTTAACAAAAGATTGTTCGATTAGTGTAAGATAAATATGACATTGTTCGATATTTCAACTAATGTCAAATATTTTCTTTCTAGTACAATGAATAATTTCTTTCACTTGTCTTTTTCACAAATATAGTAAGTACAATAAGTATATAAATTGAATAAATATATAATATACTTGAAGCAGTGAGTGTTCCAATTGCTGTATTCAAGATTGTGCAAAAGATCATCTTTAATGTTAAAAAGTTATATTGATTTAGTGGATTAACCATATCACATAAAACATTTATTAACATACTTTAAACGTTAAACCATACCAGTTACACTGAATAGCAGTCAACTTGATAAATAAAAGTGCTTAAATAAAAGTGGCGCCATCTGCTGGAAGAATATAGAGTTGCATGATATAATTCAGTCCTTAGCACTTTTATAGAAGCAAATTTGAGTACTGCAATGAAATATACTAAATAAAATTTAGTACAAGAATTTTTTAGAATTTTCGACTGAACATCTGAAAAACCTATTAATATACAGACATAAATGCTCAATGTTCATTGGAAGTTAGTGATTGAAGATAAATGCTAAAACTACAGCTGTGGAAAATGTATATTGCTGATATCCATCCATGCATCCATCCATCCATCCATTTTCTACACTCACTGATATGTTTTTAAAATTCAAACAGCTAAATAGTACTGTAACCAAGAATGGAAAACAAGGCTTTAAGAGTAAGATCGATAATATGCAACCTTTTTGTGCAGTCCCCTTCCCAGTTTGGAGGACAAGTATTGCTGGGTAGAGCAGTAGAGCAGGCTTAGCCAGTGAGGCACGCTACCCTGAGATGATATGTGTCACACTCTGGTGTGATTGATTGCATTAGCATGTGGGCCTCCAGAGATGACTTCATCCTCATGGCAACAGACAGCTGGCAGCTGAAGGTTCCACCGGAGGCACCTCGAAGGCCTAGTCATGTGTGACGTGATGAGCTTTCTCTCCTTCTCTTTTCTTCTGCTTCTGGAAAGCGAGAGAGAGAGAGAGAGAGGGAGGTTTTCTTTAATTCTTCACTGTATCACATTACTCTTACCAACCAGTAGACTCCCACCACCCCAGTCTCTGCATCACATTACCACATGCTTTTTGTGATAGTAATCTAACCACTGACTTTTAGTGGAATCTTCCAATGTCTACAAAAACGCGTAGATCTTGCAGTCTTCCAATATCTGGAACTGATATTTATTTTCATGATTCTTCATCTTTTGGTTTTGTCTTGTTAAACAATTGACATGCGTCTGCTGACAAGGCCCCAAAAAATAGGTGTCTCTCACTTATCATAAGTTCACTTTTACTTTATATTGGACAGTGTTTTCCTCTGTAACACCTGCATTCAGAACACTGTCAGCTGCATTATGTCATGTTTATTTTAATTGGTAGGCCAGATGGTACATTTTGGGTGTGCAGTATTAAGCATTTCATAGGCTTCCATAAAATGTCCATAGATCTGGAGTGGGTCACATTGCTGGCTAAATGTCCAATGGATCTTTTACTTTGCTTTGATTACAAAATATAATTTAAAAACAACACAAAACACCAACCAAACTCAAGCATAAAACATAAAAATAGAATATAGTCAAACACTGACTTTGATCAATGAATTAACAAAAACTTTATTTCTGGCCAGCAGATGGCACTAGAAACACGCCACAACGACATCATATTAAACCAGTTAATAACGACTAGAAGCAGGTGGGAATTGTTCTTTGAACAATATATGGCTTATATTGAAGTACATTCATTTTACTTTTTTTTCTCTACAAGGTGCAGGTGCTACATCAAGTGAAAGTTTAATTTGCTTCCAACTTGACTACTTGATTATTTTCCTTAATGGAAATTTAACAGTTTCTTGTAAAATTCCAATGTAATATCTGGTGGTTTCAAATGGGATTTTCAAACAATTGAATTTGTCTGCATAAATTGCAAGTGTTGGTCTGGCTGGAAAAGAAAATCTTGTATTTTATCAGCAGCTGTATGAAGTTTAGTCCGTATGTCCAAAATTTTTTGGAATTAAATTCCACTGCAGTCGTGTAGAAATTTGAATAGGCTGCATGAATCACAAAAGCTGAAATACCTCTTCCTGAAATCTGTTATTACAGGGCTTTGTTAGCAAACTGGATGAGTTCATCAAGTGGCTACGAGAGGCCCTAGAGACAACCGAGAACTGGCTACCCCCCAAAGCCGATACCACCAGCCTCAAGCTCTACCTGGAAACACACCTGGTGAGTCGTCCGCTTTCCACTGTATGTGCAGAAAATACAAAATTCTGTCTGTGTGTGTGTGTGTGTGTGTGTGTGGGTTTGCATAGATCACATTTGGGGATCAAAATGTCCCAAAGTGTGGTAAAGCCTGAAACTTCTTTACTTTTGGGGGCATTTTTCAGGTCCCCATCTGGATAACCTCAGTTTTATATAAATCTGTGAATGTAATCAAAAAAGTAAAAAAGTCTTCTATTTTGTTTGGTTACTTGTGGTTAAGGTTAGGGCTGGGTAGCGTTAAAGGTTGTCATTGTGGGGATTAGGGATTTGCCCATAGAAAAGAATTGACAGTCCACACGAAGATAGGATACACTCTCATATATGCACATCATTTTTTACATACTTTGCTATCCTGAGTCTCCAGCACTCACAGAAGCTGGATTGAGTGAATGTGTGTGCTTGGCTGTGTGAGCTATGATAGGTCTGCTACTCCCCTAAAAGCTACTTTTTAGTGTCCAGCCTGGAGAGTGGGTGTTGTATTTGTGCTTTTGCATCACAAGCATGTATCGACTGAGGGGAAAAAATGTGAAAAGCACTTGTTTTTCCTCATATCCCCACAGTTGTCAGGCCGCAAACACGAGGTGTACACAATTTAATGTTTTGATTTGGAGTCCAGCTGGTGCGCGGGGGCGAAGGATCGTGGAATGTTCCGGCACCCGAGGGAGGCCGGTAACGAGAGGTCTGCAAGCGTGGCTGCTCTTTATAAGGCATTGAGAGATGGTGCGAAATGAAACGGCTATTGATTGAAGCCGATGGCGGATGCAGGCCTTTGAATCACATTAACGAGAGCACTCCGTACTGGCGGAAAATGAACAGCCTGGACTACTGCACGCAGGGCAGCTGTAAAAGAGCAGCTGGAGCTGGGAAAGAATATAAAACTGTCCTGTATATGACCGTAAGACCTTCTGGCCCAAATGCCACAACTGATGATACAGCCGTAGAGATACAGTGGGGAAAAGTGACCTTAAAAGCCGTCTTAAAGTTAACACTTGTTTTTGGTCACACACATTAAATTTAAAAACCTGTTACATCCAGACACAAATGAAATAAAGTCAGACATCAGACTTTTTCCCCAGTTCTTCTATTTTGATTTTTTTGCACCAAGGTCTTCAAAATTCAGGACACATTTTTTATATTTGAAAGGACATTTAAAACCTGAATGAAGTCAGTTTATCTTCTTTCATAATTTTTCTTAAGGCTTTAAAAAGAGGTATTATTTTTGTGTAATATATTTATTTCTCTTAATTTACTCTTACAGTATAAGAAGAAAAAAATCTTTTAAATCTTTTTCTTGCACTACAAAAAAACTGAAATTTTAAATAAGATTTTATGAATAAAACCAGTAGCTTTTATGGAATAGATCCTAATTTTTGGACTCAGCAACCTGATCTGCCCTTTGCTGAGGGAATTCCGTGCACCCACCTCTCCAAGGTGCCCACAGGAAATCGGCTTATTCAGCAGAGAGAGCACTCAGCGCAGGTCCGGCCATCCCACTCCACCTCTGTGCCTATAATGAAACATGGAGCCACGCCTCCAGCTGTCCATGTCGCGATCATGCTGCCATGTAGCCTGCCGTTCATGGCAGACCTAGTCACCCCGCCGTGTGGCCGTCTCTGCACGCCTCCGTCCATGAAGGCATTCATTCCTCATCCAGCAGGCCCCTTCTCTCTCTGATTCGGGGATTACGTCTCTTGCCAGAGCTGGTGCTTGTGCTCCAGCAGGTTCATCAAGCATCTATTGATGTCTGGTGGGCGATAACCTGTCTGTCCCCTTTAAATCCACTGAGATCGCCTGTCTGCCATTGTGCTGGCGGCCTGGCATCCCTGGAGAGGCCTCACGCCCCGTTAACACCAGCGTGTCAGGCGTATTTGTATGATGGGATGTATTCACTGTTTCTATGATAAGGAGATGTGCATCAGCATTTACAAGCAGACAGCTGGCTGTGCATCAGGATGCAGAAAAGTCAGGAGATCAGCATTTGGGAGCGGCTGAGGTGTAGAGGTCGGTAACTGACTGTTAACTGACATTTAGAAGAGGGTAATTGATCTTGATCTTGGATAACTGATTTGGTACGTCTATAGAAGCTACCTTGGATGTGTATCTGGAAGCTGGTCACTGTCTTTAGGTCAGTATTGATCTGGGGAAATACTGATTATGTATCAGCCTATAGAAGACCCCCTGCCTTTGAATCTGTGTATTTGAAGTCACTGTGGAGCAGCCATTAGGAGCACATTCTCCCCGCAATGTATCCTGCTGTCTGCTGCGTGCACTGTGTGCACATAGAGAGCAGTCCAGGGCAGTTACTGCGAACTGCAGCTCCCTCCACCCACCTTCAGCCAGCTGCTCCGATCAGAACCCACCATAATCGCACTAAGCAGGCCGGCTGAGATCTGAGGAGTCTACAATCCCAGGCGAAGATGGCTGCAGGCGCCTCTCCGCCCATTTCTCTCAGGAAATCTTTCCTTCCCCCTCTTGCCTTCTGCATCTTCAGAAGCACAGCCCGGTTCCCATCCTTGCAGATCTGGAATACTGCGCTCTGCACTCAGGCCAGTGTACAGGTGTGCCTGTGAAAGCCTGGTCTGTGTTACCAAATCCAATCAACATGAAAGTTATAATAGCAGCAGCAATTAAATGTGAGGCAAAACCTAGCAGGAGAAGGGAAATGTGTGTTTGGGGTCACATCAGCTATGGCATGATACACATAACATGTCACTGTAAACGGTGCAGCTTGCTTGAGGGAATATTCAGTACAGGTGTCTGGCGAGTTGTGAGATGAACTGGCAAAGGGGAGAAAGAATTCCCTTGGAAGAGTTTGTAGGATGCTTTATATTGTCTTGTGAGAAGAAATGGCGAGTCAGGATCGTGGCATGGAGAGGCTAGGTGATGTCTCCCACATGCTCACAAGTTTTATTGTTACGTTAACCAGCCGTCTAATTATATATAATGTCTTGAAAATATAAATATATTAAAAAATTACAAAAGGGCCAGCAATTATGCAGTTGATAAATGATAGAAATACATAAATGGAATGGTGAAGCTAACCAGATTGAAAATTGTGTTCTCTGTTCTTTAACTACAACATGATGAGTTTTTATTCATCTATCTTCAAAGCATGTAACCTGTTGACTGAGGGTCCTGGAGCCCATGCCAGGCAGCACAGGGCACAGGGCTGGGGTACAGCCTGGACATGGTGCCAGTCCATCACAGGGGACACGGCTGGGGTACAACCTGAACAGGATGCCAGTCCATCACAGGGCATTTTGCTGGGGTACAGCCTGAACAGGATGCCAGTCCATCACAGGGCACAGGGCTGGGGTACAGCCTGAACAGGATGTTAGTCCATCACAGGGGACATGCCTGGGGTACAGCCTGAACAGGATGCCAATCCATCACAGGGCACAGGGCTGGGGTACAGCCTGAACAGGATGCCAGTCGATCACAGGGCACAAGGCTGGCGTACAGCCTGGACGGGATGCCAGTCGATCACAGGGCACAAGGCTGGAGTACAGCTCCAACAGAATTGCAGTCCGTCACAAGAAACACAACAAGCAATTTAGAGGCACCATTGAACCTAAGGGCAGGAACTTAGCCCATGAGGTCATGCAAACTTCACCCAAACACAGTGGGGCAAGAGGTCTGAGGCAGCACTGCTGCCCATTATGACACCGGTTCAGAATCACAATCAGAGCCAGAATCATACTTTACTCACCAGGAAGCAGGGGCAGATCTATGGGGGGGCAAGAGGGGGCAGCTGCCCCCCCCCCCCTCCCATATGTCTTGCTGCTTAAATTGCTGAAAAAATCAAGACATGGAAAGAAATCTTAACTGTAAATGCAATCTTAGGTCACCAATAATGTAGCTGCAGCACTGCACTACAATGTGCACGGCATGTGGCGCTGACAGTGCGAGTCTGCCTGCATGCAGGTGTGGAGGAGAGGAGCCGCTGTGCTACGTCTTAAGGGCAAGTCCCAGCCTCACTGTTTGAAAACCCATGAATTGTGGAAAAGTGAAATTTAAATTAGTAATGAATGTAACGTATGCTGAATTAGCAATGTATGGCTTGTGTGCTAATGGAAATTCAACAATTAGAGTCCGTTACCATAATGGTAGCCGAAAGTAGGCTACAGTCACTGACTAAACTGAGTTCAAAGACCTGATTTAGATTCAATTAGATTTAATGAACTAGCTTTCGTTTTAGTAAAGACAAAAAGAGGTGCAAAACACGGGCATGTTTGGATCCATAATGTTTGAGCAGTGGGTTGCCAGTGGGCACTGTAGAGGGTGAGCACAGCTTTTCAGCTGTGCCATACAACCATGGCAGATGACCATCTGAGGAATCTAATTCTGTTCTCAGAACCAGAGTGGAAAAGCACTAAATTTGGATATGTTTGTGAAACATTCTGCTGCACAGCACAACAACCACAGCCTTAAGCTGCCTTAAAAAATGTGGCCAGACATGTCCAGATTCGTAGTGCAGAGCCTGCAGTAGCTGCACCCTTTTTTTTGCATGTTCCTATTGACGATTTTTAAGATAAACTTGGGGAAGTGTGTATTACAGTTTTTATTGATTGCTTTGACACATTTCATGAAACATACCTAACGTTCTCAAGACTATAAGAGCATTTCTCAATACAGTTCAGGCATATACAGTATATCAACACAATGGCTCAGCTGCAAAAGCCTGTAACTTACACAAAAAAATGAACTCATGTCTCAAAAGCAAATAATTCCACCAATGAATTAGTCAGCACCACCAAAATGAAAAGTACAATTAGCATCATTTTGACCATGAGAGTCAAAATGCTGAATGAATGGATTCCCACTTTCTCATCGTTACTGACCGATCATTTTCCTTTAGCAAACTGATACTTACAGTCATTCTTAATTGCTTTGGAGCAGTTATCAAATGACAATTAACATTTGCAAAAGTGTAATGCCCACATTTGAATGTCACTTCTGCACAGCAGAAAATCATTGCAAGGTTCTACGTTGCAGTATGTAAATAGAAGGCACTGACATGCACATGTAACTTCTTCAGATCTCAAAATAGTACAATAACAAACCAAAATGTCACATAGTAAAAGCCAATAAAATAGCAATAGAGGAACAAAAAAACAACAAAATCATGTACTGTGGGAACCAAAAATAGAACGATGGCGTATCACTATTTATAGAATATATTTTTAAATGGCTTTGAAAGCTCGGTTACCTGTTTCGCACGGGGTGGTTAACACGATGATGACAGACATATATGGTTTTGGGTGTAAAATTATTATAGTGGGAAACTACATAATCTTTTTTGACCAATTAGACTAAAGCAACTGAAAATTGTGCAAAATGATGTCAACTGTACAAAACCATTTGCATTTATGTACTAAAATACGTGGAAATTTGTGTAAAGCAATGAGAAATTATGTCCTGCTGTGCAGAAGTGACATTATGGTGCAGGGGTTACACTTGTTGTTTTGCAAATGTTAATTGTCATGTATGAAATGCTCCAAAGCAATCGTGGAAAATTGTAACATGTCAAAATAAATGTTGTAAAAATGTATTTGTGGATCTTTTGTTGAGTACATTTGCCTATAGAAGTACAATTGTATTTCTATATGAGAACTCCCACATACCACCCTCCATGCCACCCTGTCAACACCTCTTGCCACCCCATGTAAAATTCTCTAGATCTGTCACTGCCAGGGAGACAAAGAGGCCGAAGAGTTTGTTATGGTGAATTGGTCACACTGAGTACACCTACCATATAATAAACACCACATAGAACTTCACCTAAAAACAATACACAAGATATACAGGATACAGGCTATGTGATGCACACAGTGTACACACAATATACATCATGGTACAAGAGGAACAAAATAGGCTGTACAGTATACAAAAGTATACAATCATTGCACTGCAATTTAGTTACTGCATGTATCATTTCTGATTAATATGGGATATTGCCTTTGGAAAAAAGCTGTTTAAGTGGTGAATAGAGTTCACTTTTATGAATCTATAACATTCAGAAGAGTGTTTGGTACTGCTTGTGGCTGGCATGAAAGGGATCTGTTATATTCTCAGCTCATGGCCAGCATGAAAGAGATCTTCAATGATTTTCTCAGCTCAATGCCAGTATGAAAGGGATCGGTAATGATCGTCTCAGGTCATGGACAGCATGAAAGGGATTTACGATTATCTCAGCTCGGTGCCAGCATGAAAGGGATCATCAATAGTCTTCATAGCCCACAGCCAGCATGAAACGGATCTACAGTGATCTTCTCAGCTTAATGTCAGTATGAAAGGGATCGGCAATGGTCTTCTCAACACATGGTCAGCATGAAAGGGATCGACAATGATCTTTTCAACTCATAGCCAGCATGAAAGGGATCTGTAATGATCTTCTCATGGCCAGCATGAATGGGCTCAGCAGTGATCTTCTCAGTTCACTTCCTCATCCTGGATGCATATAGTTCTTGGATTAGGAGGAGGTTGCAGCTAATGATCTTCTCTGCAGATGACCTTCTCATGGTTGATGCCCTGCATTTTCTCTTTAGATTGGACCATTGCCACATTGAACCAAATAGTGATAGGGGCTGTGAGAATGGACTCAACAACTGCAGGGTAGAACAGAACTAGTGTAGGCTTGGGAAGACTTTGTGTTTCAGGAGAGGTGAGAGGCTGGTTGTGTTGAGGTTGCATTTTGGAAGTTACATCCTGCCAGCTTGAGTTGTTATGCCTTTCTCCTGGCACAGAGCTTCAAGCTGAACGTGGACAGGCACTGCTCCCTGAAAGATGGCGTGCTGGAGGAAGGCAAGCAGCTGCTGGAAGTCATCATCTCCCACAAATCAGGTAGCATGCTAGAAACCCTGCACATTCATTATTAATGTCTACATTAACATACTGACCTTCAGCATTTATAAATCTTTCAGCGAGCAAGGGATAGAGGGCTTTCCATATACTGTACAAATGACTTTCTGCGGTGAATGAGGTCTGTAAAAAGGCAGCAGGCTGTGCACCAGGTGATAGTTGAAGGAAGCTGCTGGGACAGAGTATATCAGGCGAGCAGCATTAAGAACAGTGGCTTGGGAGTCACAGGGCATCTCCCAGACACCCCTCCCACTCCGACACTGTTCACCTCAAGCAGGCAGTGGAGCACTCTGCAAACGGACAAATCTGCTAAGCCGGCCCCCCGCTTGGCAAGGTGTCTCCTGGCTGGTTGTTAAGCTGTCGACCATTAAAAATGCAGATGGCCCCCAGGAGCAGAGCCTGTCTGAAAGCTCAAGCAACTGAGTCCCGCTGTGATTTGCTAGCATCCAGCCACCTTGCCACCCCCCACCCCCCCCTCTTTTTTGTCTCATACCCCCTTCCTCCCCCCATCCCTCTTTGTCTTTCTGTTTAATCTGCTCTGGCTTCTAGCACCTTCAGTTAGTTTGTATTGGACACCACAATTATTAATTGCAAATCTCTCTCCAACATCCCGTAAAACCAGTAATACCTGGTTTCCTAGCAACTCAGCAGATCAGTAATAATTCTGCAGGTAGAAGCAGGAACTCGCATTGTTTGACAGTAGATAGACAATACGGAGTGTAATCCACGCAAACTACAAAAGCGGGGTCACATTTTAAATTTCACCTCTTTTTCATTTATCTTAATTTATGCTTTTTAATTACTCTGAAGGAATAGGATTTGGGGAATGATCTTTGCGCCGGTATTGCTGGTGGAGTAGAAAATGACTTGTAACGGAAATGAGGATTAGTGTTGCACAGTGTGCTCTGGCGGCACAGGATCGTTTCAAATTGCCTAGGTTTTTGCATAGAGGATCAAACTAGGCGAGAAAGGATGAGGGTGAGAGCCAGGTTCCACCCACAAGACAGGAAAACGTAACCCTTACCACAGCAGAGGGATGAAAAAAGACATCAAAGGGGCGCACAGGCACTTTTTCACACCAAGCAGAATTCCGGTTTTTAAAGCCACATTCAACAATCAGACAATCAGTTAAACTTGGTTTTACCCTTAAAATCCAGTATCTGTTTGTAGATCTAGCTCTAAATCACAGATAGACTGTATTTATGTCATAATAATAATGAAGATCCCTCAGTTTTTCCAACCAGTTATGTATAGTAACTAAATAATGAATAGTAAAAAATGTCTTGTATTACACCACAACAGGGAAATCCATTTTCTGAAGCAGCTTGTCCTATTCAGGGTTGCGGGGGGTTCGGAGCCTATCCCAGAGGATATAGGTGCAAGGAAGGGAACAGCCCAGGATGGGGCGCCAACTCATCTCAGGATACTCTCGTAAACCATTCTCTCACACACACAGGCAATTTGGTAATTTCAATTAGCCTCAGCACGTTTTTGGACTGTGGGAGGAAACTGGAATACCCGGAGGTAACCCCATGATGACAAAGGGAGAAAATACAAACTCCACACATACAGAAACCTGGCCCTGGAGGTGTGAGGCAACAGTGCTAACCACTGCACCACCATGTCGCTCCATATCAGGGAAATCATATTATGATTAATAATATAATGAACAGAGGCTATACCTAGGGAAAGTTTTTGAAACTAAAAAGAAGCATAACTAATAGCACACATAAATTACAACCAGGCACAAAGCTAAGTTTATTGTTTTCATTAAAATAAGTAAAAGTTGATATATTGTCAGATATTAAGTAGTCCACCCATCCACTAGAGGGCAGTGTTTCTGAGCTTCACTGCTTTTTTGTGGAGATTTTCTCTGGTTACATGGTTTCAGTGAGCATCTGGACTCCAGGTAACCAAGCAATGTGCTTAGTTTTCAACTCTACTTCTTAGTCTGAAGAAGTTGTTCTCTAAAATAAAGAAAAACTAAATGTTTTTGAATGAGTAGTTCATTTCCCACACTTTCTCCCTTTTCTCTTTGTCCTGAAGGGGGGAAATAATAAACCCGGACTCCTTTCTCCTGGCGTCCCTGAATCACGTCATGCCTTTGTCCAGTGCCCGCTTGTCTGCAACTTTCACACAGTCTCTCCTTTGCTTTTGGCTCCAACCTCTCAGCCACTTGGACAGTCAGTCTTGTAGGAAAGGCTACTTAGTGCACCTAAGAAGAGAACTTTTATCCATGTTTATGTCTATGCGAGTAGCCCAATCTGCATACAATAGCAACAGCAATGTATTATGCAGGTATAAAAGCTGTAAACAAATGTGGATCACTGTAGAGAGAACTATTAAGAACTAGGGAACTATAGTCACTGAACTGTTGATCTATGGTCCTTTCTTTTTGTAAGAAGTGAATGAATATGGTGATATTAATTCTGCAATTATCTGACCAAGAGCTTGAGGTGGCCTCCATGTGCTCATGTCATCCCATTTCTCCCCAATACTTCTGCCCCCATCCCTCCGGGCTGTGCCCCTTGGCACCCCATACAGACCTAAGGGACACGCTGCAGACCATCGCACACCAGTGGCAGCAGCTACAGAGGCAGATTCGCCGGCAGCACAGCTGGATCCTGCGTGCCATGGATGGCATCAAAGCCCAGATGCTGGCTAGCCAGGCGTCACAGGAGGTGGGCATCGGAGCAGCCAGCCCCCAGGTAAACGGGCCGCACGCCACCCCCATCTCCCGGCCCGCGGCAACGCGGTGCACGCTTAGCAAAATAAACAAACAGACGGGCGGCGCTGGAAGGAGCCGCGCCTATTAGCATAGGAAACGGCAGCAGCGAAACTATAAGGCTACGACGTTTCCTCCGAGAGGACAGATCACGACTAGATATGCATGATGTAAATATCAAGCCTTTCTTTAATGAAAACTAAGGTAGGCAAGGCTGCATGAATAATTACAGAAAGCACACATATAGGTGTGGTGAATGTGCAGCCTGATATTTGTTTTATTCACCTTGTGCTCTGTGTGGAATTTTAAAGACCTTCATTCAGGATTGAGGGCCACTCGTGTTAAATGTCATTATGTAATTACACTCCAGGTTGACTTTAGAAGAAGCTTGCTTTCCATTCATTCATGGCACTGTTTGTACTCCCACGGTGAAGCCGTTCATGTCACTTCAGTAGGGTTTAGGTTGTTGGTTGGATGGTTTTAAACCTGCTCTGGGGTCATTGAATTCGTGTATAATATGTAGTGTATAGAGTTTATATGTATGTCCATGTAAATCCACATATTCTATGAAGGGTTCACCTTCTCATGTTCCGTAAACAGCACCTTTTTGTAAGGGTGACACAAATAAACTGGCTGCTTTTAAATAGTTTCTTCGCAATTATAAATCACCACAATCAGTGCGATCAGTCAGCTCTGACATCCATTAGCTGCTTGGTTACAGCAAATTAACAAAGAGCAGAGTGAGTGATTCATTATCTCATTGCTCTTAATGATGATCAGATGCATTGCCTAATTAGAAGATGGCTATTGTAGCAGGAGGAAGGTCAGGCACAGAGCTACTAATCTCTCGCCGCACTGTGTTTTACCTCTTGCCGCTGTAAGCGGGCTGAAAAAAACACACACTGGCCTACGGCGAGGGTGTCAACCAGTGCTCTAAGTCTCTAGACAGGCACACTAAAACATTTTTATGTTTTAAATTATAAATGTCACCAAAAAACTTTAAAATACATGAATATATCAACACATGTAACACTGCATATTATATGTATCATATACAGTACTGTCCAAAAGTCTTAGGCAGATAAAGGAAATGTTTAAGGCTATTTATCTGGGTAGTAAGTTTATATTTATTCAGAACAAAAAAAAGTTACTGGTATCTTGCTAGATTGCTAGAAGAACATCGCTTCAGTACCCAAACCTTTTCTCTCGGGCACCCCAGCCATTCCATATATATGTTTCACCACCAGCTCAATTAATTAACCAATTAATTGATTGATCTGATTGACCAATTAATAAATAATTAAACAAACTAGTTTTTAAAAGTCAATGAGGTATTGATTAGCCATAGAAGGTGATCTGCTACGCAAGTCAAAAAGTATATGGGTGTGTTAAATGGTTGCTGCAAACCTGGGATTTTGAAGACATTTTGGATTGGCTAAGCTGACAAATTTTTTGGCATAATATCATAGTTTCACATCATCAAAAACATCATTTTCTTTGACTGCCTAAAGCTTTTGCCTAGTACTGTGTATAGGCAGCATATACACATACAGACTGTGATCTGTATGGTATAAGCAATTAGGGAAGTATGATTAAATTGAAACATACAGACTGCATACATGTAAATGCTCTGTGTGTTTGGTTGGCAAGTACTCCCGGTATTATGTGGGGTTCTTTGAAGTACAGTGGTACCTCGGTTCTCGAACTCACTAGAACTCGAATTTCTTGAAAGTCAAACAAACCAGTTTGACCTAGAACTTGATCTGAATATCAGAAGTCGAACCGTGAACGCTGACCTAATATAAATTGTACGCGCCAGGAAATGAGTCATACTACAATGCAATTCTTACTTGAATGCCTTCTTCACAGACTGGATGATTAACCAAATAAAGCAGGGCAACATTACAGTATCTAACAATAAATAAACCACTAACTTACATGTACTATTAGAGCATTTATGTCATTTATTTAAACTTCATTTTACCAGGTAAATTAACTGAAAACCAGTTCTCCCTGCTTTACGTGATATTCGGGAGAAATAGATTACGCATCGGAACTGCCTGGGATACAAACGTCATGCGTGTAACTAAACTCTTTAGCCAATAAGGGCAAAGGTGTGTCGTCACGGAGGCGGTTCCAGTTTGTGCAGCTGGGTGAGAGGTCGCAATGCATCTAACCGTAATGCATTGCGTCAGGATCAGAATGCGTTGCTTTAAGCCAGTGCTGTAAGCAAGTTGAATTCACCCAATGACCGGACTGCGAAAACAAACTGAAACGCGGACTTAATACAGGGTACTAATGACAACAACCAGAAACAGCTGATCACATGGGAATCCCACATGAGGTTAATGAGGGGGCGTGGCACACGGAAGGAGCGGACGATCGGGCAGGACAAGGGTAATGTTGGGATAAGATCTTTATCGTTTTGGAAGCCATTAAGAAAAAAATGCTCGTCTTGTTTTATCCTGTTCATTTTGTGTTTAAGTGCTAAAAAAAAAAAGAATTAGGTGTAATTTTGCGGGGCCGGGAATGGAATGGAATGGTTTTCCATTATTTCTTATGGGAAAAATTCGATCAGAACTCGAACTTTTTAGAATTCGATCCGGAGTCCGGAACGGATTAAGTTCGAGAACCGAGGTACCACTGTATTGTATTTTCTTTTGCATTTGGAGCCTCTACATTGTACGAGGTGGAACAGGATGTTATGTATGTTTGTAGTAGCCTAATTTAATATTTTTTTTCATACATTTTTTCCATCTTTATTTACTAGCTTAAAAATTAATATATAAAGTATAACAAAGTAAAAAGAGCTCTTGTATCGGAATCTGTATCGGTATCGGCAGTTGTGTATCGGAATCGAATCGGAACTGAAAAAATGTGGATCACCCATCTCTAGTATGGGTTTAGGTCGTCTTGTTGGGATCAGTGTTTTCCCCACAGAAATGAATGGAGAGTCCCTACAAAGATATGATTACATACCTTTGTGTTTGTGTGTGTGTGTGTGTGTGTGTATGCGCACCTGCCTGACCTTGTGCCCCGGGATGGACTGGCATCCTGTACCGGATAAATTAGTTTGAATTGATAGGCTCCATTTTAAATGTCTGCACTAAATGGCTTCCTCGCTGCTGTTTTCCATGAGGAGCTGCGTTATTGTGGATTATCTTATGAGCACATGCATGCGGCGTGTCTGTTTGCTCTGTACATTAAAGCACTAGCTTCATCAGGCATGTACAGCATAATTACATAAGTATAGCACAAAGTTCAGTATCACTCTTTGTTTCATACATTAACCACCTTTGTAGACTTAAAAGGGGGAGCTTGGTTAGAGAATCACTGCTATTTCTCAACCTTTATAGCTGAGGTACTGCATATATTCATTTTTCCAAATCTCATTAAAAATAATAATAACCGCTTAGTTAATGAAGTAGCACATACAAAGCATTTATTATAATTTAACAGTGAAAATATATGAGAAAATTATTCACTGTCCCGATGCAAGAAAGTGGTTGTCAAACAAATAGTTTGAGAGGTGCAAACCCTCCAGCGGGATCTTCTCACAGCCCCTCTCCTGCCGCGTGTTTCCACCTTTAGCCCTGTTTATGATGTCCAGATGGAGCTCTCCACCCTGCCACAGCAGACAGGTGCAGAGCCTTCGGTGGGCTCAGAGCTGGTGATAAGTATGCACCAAGCATGCCCTGCGTAAGCACAACACGCTCAGTCTGAGTGCTTTTCCATTGAACTACTGAAATGCTTCTGCACATTTTGTTATTCTGAGAAACTGGTAAAATAGTGGGCAGCTGGTAAAAATAAAAACTAATCCACACCAGACAAGGGTCATAACACAAAGGACAAAGGGAGAGTATTTTTCAACTTTGACATACATGTGGATGAAACAATCTTTGTGGTTGTGTTAGATGTACAGTACAGTAACACAGTGCTATTATACTATATACACAGGAAAACAGTTTGCATGAACTATTAAAAGGGCACCAATTAATCTACAGATTAATTAACTAATGACAAAAAATTAATTAGCTAAATAATGCAATGGGCTAACTGTCCTAATCAATTTTGTGTGTACGGTTATTTCTTGAGTTTCCTTGCTATGCTCATGGCATTGTGATCTATTACAGGAAATGTTACTTTAGAGGGAATTTCTAGCGAATGGTATTGTATGTTCATTGTCTGCTTTTTAATTTGCAGAACTATTGATTTGACTTTTCACTTCTGTGCGTTTTCTTTCAGATTAATAGTAGGATTGAGTGTTGAATGTTTCATTTGGATCAATTGGTTTTTGATTGTTCTATTGAACCTTTAAAAGGCTAAACTGGATTATTAGTGTAGTGGGTATACGCATTATATAGAAAACTCGGTTCCTTGCCAATATGTTCAACTGAAACTCACTGTCAATTACTCATTTTTTTTGGACAACAGGTTCCTTTTTGACATTCATCTGCTTGTGTGAAACAGCACACCAATGAGTAATGTAACTTGTCACTCGTGTAATATACTGCGCGATGAGTACGCTCACAATCCATCCGGAACATTCTTAAGGTGTGCACTAAGCAGGGAGGGTCTCTCTTGACGGCCATAACGTTTGTTGTTATTGCACTAAACATATGCTCTTGGCGTCATCTTTGTGTTCTTTTTGCCAGCTGAGTTATTTTAGACAGGACCATAAACTTTTAACGGGGCTGGATCCTAGGCAAACGGTAATCCTAAGGGGGCCCTGTCCTGTTTAGTTATTCCCCGCTAATTAAATCACAGAGGAAGATTGTAGCGGTGAGAGATGCCAGTATCAAATAAACATAAGAGTGCTTTTTTTTGGCTGGATCATGAATTGCACATGTGACTCCATACACTGTGGAAGTAGTCCTTCAAGCAGGATGTGACCTGCTGGCTAGGCTGCTGTGGTTCTTTGCTTTGCTATTAAACATTTATCATTTGAGTGCTCATGCTGGACATTATGGATGTGTTTTAACT